AGGGGAAGGCACAAGCAGGGGCCAAGCTGCTTGACCTCCCTGCTGCCTGCCCCTGCAGTGGTGAGAGGAATGAAAGAAAGATGACTCTCCAATAATTAGATTCTATACATGGAATATTATAACAATTTTTTAAATTTTTTCATGTATAGAATATAATTATGGGGGGGGTCATCTTAAAGTCAGGGTTATTTTACATTTGTAGAAATATGGGTAATTGCATTTTTGATCCTGTTATGTCTTGGACTAATAAAGCCAGCATTCAGATAAGTGAATGACTGCTCCAATACAAGCTAATTAGTGCATAGCTAGAAGCTGTGATGTAAACAAAGTATAACCAAAACCTGGGAAGGAGCACACTAGAGTAGATAATCCTTCATACCATATCACATGCACTTCCCACTACTGCCAGAGCATTTGTCCTGAAAGCAAGTCTCTTTAATAGCTTTTTTTGTCTACCTAATGTCACTCACTCTTCCTAGCAATTGGATGAGTTTCCTCATCGTTTTTCCTTCTGTCTAGACTAAGAACAAGTGTTTTGAAAATGGGTGCTGATTTATACAGGGGCCAGTCTCAGGACACTACATCACTGACTAACTGCAGATACAGACCCAACGCCTGTACAGGATGACAGCTTTTCTAGAAAAGCTATTTTGTCCTAAGGATTATGAACAAGGGGTGGAGGGGGAGCAGTCTTGCTGTATACCAGCTGTTCTGCAGTACCTGCTCTGTGTCTGCTCCTGTCCCAGGGTAGGTGAAAACTGAATTGCAATAAGTCAGCATTTGTTTCATTTAGGGTTAATTGCCTCTGCTGAGCTTTTACTCACCAAAAATAGTTACTGAGAAACCGTTACCTTTGTAATGTACTGTAACTTGTCTGTCGTCTTAGAAACAATACTCATCATTGAAAGCACCTTTTACAATCTGTACTGGACTGTTACAAAAGACAATCTGGTAGCTAGGATAGTTTAAATTCTCTTGAAACTGCATTGTTTTGTGTAGATTTTTAATTCAATCTATTTAAAAAAATACCTGTACCCAGGGGTGACACATATGGGGTGCATGTGCACCCCCTAAGTGTGGTGGTGCACCTCCTGCAAAAAGGCGTCCCCAGTGTCGGCAGTGCTTGCGGGTGTTTGCTGCTCACCACCCCACTGCTGGCGGCGTCTGCAAGCAGTCCACGATTGCCCCTGGCCGCCGCCAATGCTGTTGGCAGTACCTAAGAGTGGTCTCCAGCCCCTGGTCGCTGGCGTCAGTGGGAGCGCCAGTGGCATCTGTAGGAGCTCCCCCATTTGCCACTGCCAGTGTAGCTGTGCCCCCCCCAGCTGCTGGGGGCATGCACCATTCATGCCTGTACCATTTCATAGACTCCTGATCAGACTAGTTTTCCCCAAATAAATTAATCTTCCTCTTTCTAGTTAGTGCTGGAGTTAAATGCCACAGAAGCTAAATTCATTAAACTGGATCTTTGAATTAATAGGTTAGCAATACATACAAATGGTGAAAGTAATTTTGTAAGAGCCTTAAAAACATTTCACTTGTTAACTTCAAGTAACATAGCACACAGCATGTGGTCATTTTGCTCTACAAGCCCCTGTCCTACATACAGACCTAGAGGTGAAGTGTTCAAATTAATTAACATTCAGAACAACACCCTACGCTAGGGGTAGGCGATTTTGGCCGGAGTGCCGAAAAACCATAATGTCTACCTTGGAAAGTGTCGGAGTGCTGGCATCCAGAAAAACAAAATGAGGGGGGAGGGTGTGTGTGTGTGTACATGGCAGGATGCACTACATATTAGTATATTTAATAATCATAAATGTTGCCTTTGTTGTTGCATATTCCTTTTTTGTTGAGCATGTTGCAATGAGAGAGAAAAGAGACAATGAGAGAGAGAGAAAAAGGAGAGCAGAGAGAGAACCAGACACGCACGCAGAGAACCATGTGCACAAACAGAACCAGAACACAGAACGGACACATGCGCGCACATCCAGAACCAGACACGTGCACACATAGGACCAGACAGAGGCAGATAAGCACACAGAGCTGGGCTCCTGGACCACTGGACAAAGTCCGCTCTGAGGCAGGCATGTACGCACCTGCTGGTATGGATCTAATGCCGGAGCCTGGAGCAGATATTTGCAGCCTCCTGGCTGCAGCCAGCCCAGGCTTCGGGTAGCTGCTGCCAACTATGGCAGGGGCTGGCGGCCCCCCGCCAGC